CAGTTGTGTTAATTTGTACATTGTTTGCAGGCACTCCCTTTAAACTCGAATCTCACGGCGTACTTTTCGAGAGCCATCTTGAGTGTGACTGAAAGTGATTTGATGAATGAAATTGAAGAAAAATATTTTGGGAAGAATGAAGTTGGTGAACAAAACTCGTCTGAGGAAGCATCTTCTGCTCCTCTAAGTCTCAGCTTTCATAGCTTTGAGGGGCTGTTTTTGATTACAGGAATTTCAACTTTTTTTGCACTATTGATATCAGAAAGTGTTTTATGGCAAAAGCCCATTTTGATGGCTAAAGCATTGAGTCGAAGGTATTTGTCCTTCGTGGCGCCTACCACGGAAATACGCGTTCATCCAACTCATGATTCAACTCACGGTATAGAGGTCGTTTAGAAGACCTTCTTAAAGATACATTGATTCTTGCACATGCAAATTAAATTTTTGTGTATGTATAGGTGTCACAGGAAAAGTCACGAGAGTTTTCTTTATTTGTATGTATGTATGTATGACAAAAATAGGAGGAACGAGTTCATGTTTGAATGTTATTAGTTTAAGACTAACATTCATAATCATCGTACAACACTTAACTCTTTTGTAAATTCAATTGGATCTGACAGTTTAGTTAAATAATATAATATACATCTATTCAGCGCATTATGATTTCTTAATTTCTTTTAGTTTTTTAAGTAATTAAAAAATAAATGTGCTGACTTTTCTTAGTTTCTATTTAATTGAATAAATAATATGAAAACAATTATATGCAAATTAATTTTAAAGTTGACTTAAAGAGAGTACAATCTCTTTAAACATATAACTTGAACAAGAAGTTGTTAATCTATGGCAAATTCGTTGGACGAGCCATGATTGTCTAGTTAGACAAAAGGTTTACATGTGTAATTTTATTCTTATTTTTATTTTTATGTGTTTTGGTCTTTGAATTTTATTTTAAGATTTCTAAATTTTCTTAAATTTACGTGATTATATGGTATCAAAATTAATATAAACATTCTTTTATCTTATTATATATATTTGCATTCTTTAAGTGATGATTCTCTTGATTTTTGGATTAAAATTCTAATTATTATCAAAATTAATATTTTTATGAAGAATATTCATTTAACTTATCAATTGATTAGATTGTAATTTTTTTTATTTTTGTCTTATTCTATTTTTTTTCTGATTTATTTTTGTTGTATTTTTTAAGAATTCAAATTCAGAAAAACAAATCATGGCAAAATCTTTTAGATAATTATGCACCACACTTATCTATCACTTCTTCGTAAATAGTTTTATTTGAATTATAAAAGATAGTATTTTCTTAAATATTCAGTTAGACTTGTTAATAAAATTATTAATTAAGCCCAAACAACATGTGGCCTGACATGATTATGCACTCCATTTTTTTTTTACTTTTTTTCTTCTTCGTTTGCGGTTTGACTTTCGTCCCGTGAAAGTCAATTATTGGCACAGTTATATGTACGCAAACTTAGATTATATTGTTTCATATACATTATATCTAGTTTTTTTAAAGAAAATAGTTTATGGATATAACTACTACATTTTAAACCGTGCAAAAGAGTAATTTGGTAATAAATAGGAAATTTTCAATATTCAAAATTCATTTCATAAAAATCACTACTTTTCTAAAATGAAACTTCATTTACTTTTTTCTTTTCAAATTTTTTTTTTTCAAAATTCATCTTATGAAGATCCAATATGTCATAGGAATGCTACCAGGTATAGAAAAAAATAATTTATTGATCAGTTTCTATTAACAAGTTTTTTTTTTCATGGGCTGGTTTTTCATTTGGGTGTTTGCATGCCCAAATGCAAGTGCTTGCATTTAACGTTTAATTGACAGAAATAAATATCTGTTTTTCTATTAGTTTATCTTTTATTATATTAATATGGTTTTTATTACACGAGGACATATTGTTAACATAGGCAATATAAATACCTTAAATATCAAATATTTTAGTTCTAGTTTAGTTATTATTTTGGTCTAGTTTGTTTTTCTCATGTTTTATATACCCTTTCTAGGGTCTTCTTATAATATGTAGCTTTGTAACGCACCGTTTTTCAAATTATATTGATCTTAATTTTTGACTCCTTGTGATGTGTTTACAAATGTTATAAACTTAATGATTATCCTTCCAATTATTTTTGCTATAGCACTCTTCAACATATCCATGATGTATTATTCGATTAGATTGACAAGTGAAGCATAAAGCTTCACATAAATTAAATTGACCCTTCTTACTTGAATAGTATAACTACTAGCTTAAGTTTTTCTCTAACTCTTCCAAACAATCAAAAGGGAAATATAGGTATTATTAAAAAAAAAAAAAAATCAAAGACCACTAACATCCTTTTTTAACCAAATAACGAGAGGAGAAAAAAAATATCTTAATAAAGATTAATATACTTCACAATCTTCTTAAGACTATAAAGAGCAATAATAGTTAGATTATTCTTTAAATTAAAAAAAAGTTTAGAAATTTTGATTTTTGTAAAAGAAAAAATAAAAAATCTGACATTTATATGTAAACGTTATTTTGTTATTAATTTAAAATTAATCTTTAAGACCATATCTTAAAAATATAGATATTAATCATTTTTGTAAACTTATATGGAAATGGCATTTCTAGAAGCTAACGAGTAATCTTCAACCTTTCGACGATAGTCGTCAATTCCAACATAAAATAGAGACTTTCTAATTCCCCATTGTTGACAAACTAATGTTGAATTGATTTGCCAAAAATAAAGATTTTTAAATAAAATTAAACAAACTATTATTAGTATTTGGATATGATTTTTTTTATAAAGACAGTAGATGGTGAATTATCTTGTACTCGTGTCCTATTAAATAAATGATTCAATTTTTTTAAAAGTGCTCTTTTGGCCACCCATCAGATGGATACTTTTTAAATATCAATTTCAATCTGTTTATTTCTAAATTAAAATTTGATCGATTCAAATAATTTAATTTAAATTAAATAGTTTTTATTTATTTTACCCTTTCAAATATTAAATAAAGCTAAAAATATAAAAAAAAAATACTAAAACATTAAATTTTCATTTTATAGATAAATTGTTATAAACCTGAAACCAATGTATTTATTTTTAGGTTTAAATTGGTGATTGCTAAAACAATAATTTATTTAATATTTTCATTCACATGATTTGTTCATTATTTCCATGATATTTTTTCTGGAAAAACCTAACAAGTGAATCACATGAAATTGAAGAATATATGTTAAATATGAAGCAAATATAAGAAAAATGCTGTGTATTTTATTATTTAGAGTCATGTTAAAAATATTAAATGATTTTAAGTAAATAAAAAATCATCCACGTATGATTTGTGCGTGGCTAGCGTTGTAGTTATGTGAGTAGAAATATTAGATTTCAAACTATATTATTACTTTTAGTCTGAGATCCATGTAATGGATCTCTTTTAGGATTTAAATTTTAGTTTTGATGGTGTTTATATTGTTTGTTTAGACATTTTCTCATTTGTTTATCATCATTTATATTTCTAAAGCTCATTTATGTACAATGTATTGTATGACCGACTAATCTTGCTTCAACTCCCAAAATTCATATACAACAAAGACGAAGACCGTCCGATCATACATGACTTGAGGTTGAATGGTCAATCTCAATAACACAGCATTTCTCAAGAGACATTTAAGAATTAAGATTAAGAGTAAGTATCAATCAATGTAATGGGCTGAGATTTGACCGTAATTAGAACTCTAATTTTAGGTCTATCTAAACAACTATAAATAGATATCAAAGCTAAAAGATAGATGATTGTGTTTATTGTGAATTTAAGAATTTGAAGTTTGGAAGGTGGACAAAAAAGAATTTGGACTAGATTGAAACAAAAACTCATGCAATAAAGGAGAAAAATTGTGTACGCGTGATTTGGAAAATTATTTTATCCTTCACCTGAAATATATAGATTTGTGTATTGTTGGTTCATCTGAATATTTTATTTGTATGTTTCATGTTGGACAATCTCTTTGTCTTGTTACTCTACACAAGTTACTTCCCTTTTGTAACTTTTTGTTTGTGATTGTCCTTCCTCCCTTCATTCTTATGTTTCACATTTACCACATATTTCCTTAATAAGTCCAAAGAAATGACGTTGTTATTTCATCTCAAAACACATTGAAATATATAAAATGATTTACTTACCTTACACTCAACATCAACACAAAACCACCCGTTGGCCTTAATTTTAACTCTCTCCTTTTTTTTTATTCATATTTTCACAATTGATCAAATCATTTTTTTTTCTAGAAATATTAATTATGTGTCAAGAAATGCATATCAAGAGAAAACATTCCCAATTTTTAAACTAAAAATATTTAAATATAACTATACCACTTTAAAATCAGTTTTATAAAATTAAGAGAAACTAATTTTAGGAAGTGACAGTGTATTAGTTTTAATTGATCTCGGTATAGGTTGACTGAGTCTATGACTGAAGTTGAAGTCACTATCTTAACCATGAAAAACTAACTATACCGTCTTTCTTCGAAAATGCTTAGCTTATCCCAAGCCCAGCCATATGTATACTTATTTTGACTTTCTTGATTTTCTTTTAACATTTTGAGTTGAATTTTCATATCAAACCAATACTCTTATTCCTTAACAAGCATTCTGTATATTAAATTTTAAAGGTATAAATATCAAACAAAAGGTAAAATATTTTAGAAAAATACAATTGGATGTTGATTGAACTCTAATTTGTCTGTATAATTTAACATTCCTTAACATGCAATATACAGTTTTTATATGGCACTTGGATGTTGATTGAACTCTAATTTATCTGTATAATATAGTTTAAAATATTTGTGAATCCATTATTTGGCAACTAAAAAGCACTCTTCAATGGACTAAAACTCTATATAAAGAAGAAAACGTGAACAACAATGTATTGTTTTCGTCCGATGATTAAAAGTACTGGCCACTACTCACTATACACGATGGAGGGTAAGTGTTTTTTATCTCTTTTCTCTTGTTTTTTACTTTTTTTGCTTGTTCTACTACAGGCGCCGACTGGAAATGGATCAAATGATAGAATGAATAATGGAGAGATAAAGTTAATAGTAAGGATACCCATGAGCGATTTCCCTCAGTTTGTGGATATAGTTTGGGAGCCTTCTCAGCAAAAGTACACGGCATCTGGATATTGCATGGATGTTTTCAATGCCGCTGTTACCTACTTACCCTTCAATGTTTCTCTACGTGTTTTACCTGCTGTTGTTGACTCAAGCCAGGTTTATAAAACACACCATGCAAGTCCAAAACAAATCTTAACAGAGGTTAGTAAAATGTACCTTATATATGCTTTTAGTATTTAAGAAAAAAATAAAGCCACAAAATCTGACAGTTAACTACTTTTACTTTGCTTGAAAATATGACAAAAAAAGAGCGAAGTTGTGGTAGGAGATGTGACGATCCTGGCCAACCGTTCGAAGTTTGTAGATTTCACAGTACCATATATTGCATCAGGTGTTAAAATGGTAGTACCAGTTAAACACGGGAGGGATCAAACCATGTGGACTTTTGTTAAACCCTTCAGTTGGGATCTTTGGCTGAGCATAATCATCATCTCTACCTTCATAGGGCTTGCCATACTCATCATGGAAAGAAACGTGAACGCTCTGCCTAATCAAGAGGGTTCTCCAAATCAAAAAAAGCTTTGCCCTGCAACCATCTTGTGGTTTCCATTATCACAAGCCATTCTTCCTGAAAGTAATTACACATACGCTGTTGATTGATGCTTCAGTTTTATATAATTTATATATGGGATTAATTATCTTTGTTGGTTTCAAAATTTGAGATTTTCAGGAGAAGTAGTGGTAAAGAGCTGCTCAAGATTTGTGCTGATGGTTTGGCTTCTACTGGCGTTCGTCCTCATGCAAAGTTACACTGCTAACTTGACTTCTATATTGACCTTAGATCAACTGCGACCCAGTTTTCTGAACCTTAATGATATAAGGAGAAGGGGTTACTACGTTGGATACCAGTCTGAGTCTTTTGTTTACGATGTCTTGATTGACCAATTTAAGTTTGACCCATCCAAACTAAGGCCGTACAGAAACATTGCCGAGTACCATGATGCTCTAGAGCTTGGAAGCCAAAATGGGGGTGTTGCAGCTATATTCGACGAAGTTCCCTACCTTAAAATTTACCTTCAAGAATACGGATCCAATTACGTTATGTCTGGCCCCGAATATAGAAATGCTGGGTTTGGTTTTGTAAGTCTCTCTTTTCTAATTCTCTCATTCTTGGACAAGCTTGTGCTTCGGTTCTTTTTCTTTAATTTGTTATATTTTTTGTTGTCGTTGTAAAACTAATAAGACTAAACACATAATAATACAGAAGTCATAATTAACTCGTCTATGCAAAATCTGACTGTGTCTTGGGTGAAGTAATTTAGTTAACTTCAAATAACAAGTTATTAATCAAATGCGAATTATATAGAGTGCACTTATTGTATGTGTTATTTATGTTATATTTCCAGGTATTCCCGTTAAATTCCAATCTCACGGCTTACTTTTCGACAGCAATCCTGGATGTGATTGAAAGTGGAATAATGAATGAGATTGAGGAAAAATATTTTGGAAAGAATTATATTGGAGGAGAAGTTTCGTCTGGAGAAATATCTTCTGAAACTCTCAGTCTCAGCTTTCATAGCTTCTCTGGGCTTTTCTTTATTTCTGGGATTTCTACTTTGTTAGCGTTATTGGTTTCAGAAAGATTTATTTGGCAAAGGCTCATTTTGATGGCTAAAGCATTGACTGAGATTATGTCCCCAATTCCTCTTTTCAAGAAGAAAACACGTACTCATCCAATTCATGATTCTACTCATGGAACGGAGGCTTAAGACCTTGTCGAAGATAGATTCCTACATTCGGATGTGTCTGCCTGAAATTGAACATTTGTTATGCTATATTAAATTGGGAAAAAATACAGCTTTGAAGATAGACAAAATAGATTTTATGTTTAATTTGTAAAAAAATAAGATAAAACTTGAATGTGTATAACACTCTCTATGTAAGGCTGACATTTTTGTTCTTGTATTTATTGAAAAGTAAAATAGATACATAAAAAAATGCATATCAAAATGGATATACTATTATTGTAAACCTTCACTAAGTCTAATATATTTTGTGTTTGAACCCTGCTAATGTATATATTTTTTTTCATTGCAAATATTTATATAAATATATATTTTTCATTTTCTTCTAGTTTTTAATAATATTTTTTTTGGTGGTAATAATTCTTATATTAACCAATATATATATTGAACATCGATATGAATTAAATCAAAATAAGTAAAAC